GTGCATAAGTTTTACATGTTTGTTTTTTACCTTTAATTGTTGGGCCAAGGACACCAAGCTCCCCCATTTCTGAGACAATCTCACGGTGGAAATCTGAGGGGTAAATGTATGAATGAACAAAAAAAGAAAAAAAGAAAAAAATTGAAATGCAGAACTCAACAGGAACTGTTAGTAATAATTAGTTTTCTTTAGATAAATAATCCTAACCCTGTTTCACCTACGTTCATGCCTGTTGGCCATCAGGATGCGAGGCATGAGTTTTTCTTGGCAGTAGTTGCGGAAGGTGTCTCGGATCATTATTTCTTCCTCCGTCAGCTGACACTCCAGATCCAGAGGGTCCTGCCAGCTGAACGCTACTTTAGCTGAAGGACAAGAATTCGATTTTTTTGATAAAGTCACTAGTCATGCATAGTTGTACAGTATACCAGCTGAAAAGATCTAATTTGGAAGTCACTTACCCAACTTTGCCGGCTTCTTAACCTCTTCTGCATCTAAAAAAAAGCAAGGTTGCATAATAAAAGGTTTATCTGATTTCTCATCATTCTCTTATTGTTATTTGATTTTATTTTCATCTCGTTGGTTACAGGAGTCAATTAAAGTCCTTATTAAAGAGAGACTGCTGAATGTACCTTTTGCAGCTGCAGCAGCTGTGCCCTGGGCTCTGCCTGCAGTGACCACCACACATTTGTGGCTGGTGGTGAGCAAACGTGTTAAAGCACTTCTTAGAGCCATGATGTTTTTACTAGGGACGGAAACAGTGTAACAGATTAACATGACACCAATTAACACAAAATCGAAAAAAAAGAAAATCATTGGTTTATCTATAGATTAATAGCAACTTATCCTCTTTGTATTCAAACATGATACAAAAAAATGCACATTTAAATCTGGAATCTTTTTTGTTTTTTTATATGAATAAAATCCCTCACACAATGAGCATCCTACCCTGAAGGAAACATCACAACACAGTTACTGCAAAACATGTAAACATTTATTCAAACACCTCACCTTTTTTACTCCCTTGACTTTATCTTTTGATGCTGTAACCTTTCAGCGATCTGATCTGTAAAAGTTGCTTAAGTAATGTTTCAGCCCCCAACACGTCACCAGTGCATGTAACTTGGATCAGCAGACGCTCTGAGCATGCGCGCTCAGTTGCACAACTGTTAGGTTACACAACTAACTCTTTTAGTAGCTTTTACACAAGCAAAACGATAACAAGCTTCTTTTTTAATTATTGTGCGCATTGTATTTTTTTTTTCTTTCCGTTTCGACTGTTAATCATATGTTTCCTCTCTTACTCTCTCAAAAAGGTATTATTATTATTATTATTATTATGCAGGGGGTTTAGGGTGTGCAGGGGTGTTGCCTACCAGCTACCAGCTCATTGGCTGCTAAATTAGGCATGGAACATAATTTTAGTTCTTTAAATAAGTTTTGTAAGTAACATCATAGAAAGACAAACAGCTTACACTGCATTTTCAGCAAGTTACAGTGGTTTAAATTATTCTGGTAAATCCATTAGTCTGAAATAATTGCACCTCTAATGCAATATCAGCTGAAAAATAACAACAATACATTTTATTCACACACAATTAGGCTTTAAACAAGACTACGCCATAGTTGTTGCCATCTTTTCTGTCACAAATAGCTTCATTGTTGTTTTGGAAAAATAAACAGTCGGGTTGTGTTGATCATGGTGGTTTTTTGCAGAGATTACAACAAATATGGTTCAGTGACTCTGCCCTGAATGTGTTTTTCCACCTATGAAACTGGGAGAATTATTTATAGACAATTATAGATCTTTATCTTTAGAGAATAATTGTGTGCCTCAAGGTCTAATCTTGGGACCAGTTCCTTTTTCTCTATGATTGAATAACCTTATGACCTCTGTAGATCTAATTATGGCTCATTTTCTATCTTAATTACACCATTATTTACTCATTGGTGTTATCTTTTTAGCAGGCTATAGAGACTCTTCTTTAGTCCATATTTGTCAATGCCAAAACAGTTACTTAATGTCTGAAGGACTGAAAACATAATTCCTAATTCAATCCATCAAATCGACTGGTAAGCGAAATTTAGGAGGCTCAATGCCATAAGCAACATTTGTTTGATAACGATTTAACTTTATTACAGTAATGATAGTCTGTTGAAAATTCTTAAACCAAAAGCAGCTTTGTTAATTTTTTTGTCCGCAAAAATGTTTGTGTGTTTTCACTGGAAAACATATTTATTGAGAACAAATGCTTTTAAGGTTTTCAGACTATGTTTATATCATTTAAATGAATGCAAGCACATAGCTGCACGAAAGTTTGCTATAGGTTTTGCTAAACCCATGACTGATGTAAATACATTTTGCTGTGAGTTATTAATTCCGACAACTGAACAGCAACAAACATTTTTTGTACTCTAAATTAAGTAAAGATTCCATATTACAACAGGTTAAAATTCAGTTCTGTTTCACTTTAACATATTTTCTTTGACCATTCCACATCAGACTAAATCCAAAGAGAAATATTAGAATTTAACTTACGATAAATGGGTACTTTTAGTGGCCCTTCTGTTTAAAATTTACTTGTTTTTTTTTCCAATTTATTCGTTAACTATTCTAAATTCACATTTATCTAGTTTCATATATTTTCACTCTCCCATTAGCTTTTTATTTCTAAATCCATTCTGTACAAATCTCAAAAAATAACATCACCCAGTCTGCTTAGTTCCACCTTCGTAGCAAAAATTCTCTCTGACCTTCGTGGTCGCGGATGTCCACTGCCATGTTTGTTTACTACCTTAAATGCTCATGTTGTTCAATAAAACTGCCTTCTATTTGGTCTCCCTCTGAAGTCTTGTAAAAGATTTCTACCATCCATTTAATCACCATGAGCTCTTCTGAAAACAATACCAGTCATGCCCATAAAGAAGTTATTTAGCTTCTGATAACAGACAAAATTAACATTAAAAATCCTACTAGTCCTGTTTAAAGTCCGATGTAATGTTCTTGAGGTGAGCTGTAGGGATATTTTTTTTTAATCATATTTATAGCAACATTAGGAACTTATAGTTAAAAAAGACACTAATAGTTAAACTAATAATTTTTAAAGGTATTATGGTGGCTATTTTGTGTTGCACTCTGAAATTTTAGAGGCTGATTGGAAATACAGACATGTAGGGCAGTCTGGTTCATCCATTTGGTCTGAAGGTAGAAGATTCAGAAAATAACTGATTTACATGTTTGGTTAACAGTCCATTTGTGCAGAACTTTAACCACCCCTTAAAGAAATGGATGAGAAATTGTGAAATTCATTTGATTTTAACATGCATGTTTCCAGTTTTATGCATCGGCATCAACAGTTTCAATTGTTATCCGATGACTGTTTTATA